GCGTGACTCCCACCAACATCTCTGCGCCTGCACCGTCCGTCGAGAGGCTTCTTCCCAACTGGGATCTCTACACTGGGAGATTTTCGGGGAATGTGCCGCACGGATCGGGAAAGTGTTTGTGGAAGGATGGATGTATGCACGAGGGCGAGTGGCCCCGCGGCAAAGCGTCAGGGAAAGGGAAGTTTTCTTGGCCGTCTGGATCGACCTTTGAGGGCGAATTTAAGTCAGGCCGAATGGAGGGCTTCGGGATGTTCATTGGATCTGCTGAAGACCCCTACCTAGGGTACTGGAGCCCCTACCGGAAACACGGCTACGGCCAGGAGCGCTACGCAAATAAAGATTTCTATGAAGGATGCTGGAAGAAGAATCTGCAAGACGGGCGGGGTAGGAATGTTTGGAGCAATGGAAATGAGTATGACGGAAAGTGGAAGAACGGCGAGATTTCAGGTGGTGAAGTGCTGATTTCGGTCGACGGGCACCACTGCAAGAACGACGTGACTGCACGTTGTGGCATGGTGACTTGGGCCGACGGGAGCCGCAGCGAGGGCCGATACTTAGTAGACAACGGCGTGATTTCAGTTGGTGGCGTGGTGACTTGGGCCGACGGGAGCCGCCGCGAGGGCAGATACTTAGTAGACAACGGCGTGATTTCAGGTGGTGGCGTGGTGACTTGGGCCGACGGGAGCCGCCGCGAGGGCGAATACTTCGTAGACTTGAACAACGGCGTGATTTCAGGTAGTGGCGTGCTGACTTGGGTCGACGGGAGCCGCTGCGAGGGCGGATACTTCGTAGACTGCAAGAACGGCGTGATTTCAGGTGGTGGCGTGCTGACTCGGGCCGACGGGAGCCTCCGCGATGGCGAATACTTCAGAGACTGGAAGAACGCCGTTCTAGTCGGTGGCATGAGCGTGACATTCGGTGGTGGCGTGATGACTTGGGCCGACGGGATCTGCTGCGAGGGCGGATGCTACAGAGACTTTAAGAACGGCGTGATTTTAGGTGGTGGCGTGCTGACTTGGGCCGACGGGCATAGCTGCGAGGGCGGATACTTCGTAGACTTGAAGAACGGCGTGATTTCAGGTGGTGGCGTGCTGACT